GCCCCCCACCCCTCCCCAAGCTCCGCCCCCCGCACCGATTGGAAGGAGGCCCCGCAGAGCCCTGGGCTGTGCTGAAGTCTTCGGTTGTTTTCTGGGCGAGTCCGGCCCCCCAAGAAAAAGAGGCAAACTTGTTAACCAGCACAGTCCCTGCGGCTCTCCTGCCTCTTGGGTAGGGGACAGGCTTCGAGGTGTGACGACCTTCCTGGAGTCCCCAAAAGCCCGCCTCCTCGGCAGGAGGGCCGCTGGAGGTGGAGGGGCGGTGGCGTGCATCTCTGCCTTAGCCGTGCCAGCCCGCCCTTGGCCCTGGCACCGGCCTCCTGAGTGCTGGGGTAGAACCACTCCCTCGGGGCTGGAGAAGGTCACTGCGAGGTGATCTTTTTCCGCCCCGGATTGAGCAAGAGAAGGCCGTCGCGAGGTGGGGGGGTTAGGGGTGGGGGGCAGCTGTCCAGACTTGGAAAGCATCCGGCGGAGGCAGATTCTGTCCAACTCCTGGCTTCTGGACACTTTCTCTCTGGGGTTCTAAATTAGAAGGGCTGTTTTGACCATGAATAGCGGGCTTCCCTTCCTCCAGGGCCTTCCTCCCCCGGAGGAGGGAGGTTCTCCGACCCTCTTCCCCCACCCTGCTCACTACCCCCAATTGGTCACAAAAGTCAGGTCAGGGCCCAGGTCAGACTCTCCGCCTTCTAAACCTGATTCCCCAGCCTCTCTGGACACAGCTGGGCTTCCAGGGGTGGGGGCAGTGGTCCCGGGGGAGGGGCTTGTCTCCTGAGGTTGGAATGTTCTGGCTCACACAGGCCAGGCGGAGGGGGAAGGGACCAGTGTCGATGACCAGGCCAATTAAAACAGCCAGCCAAGAGGAACCCCTCTCTGTCTTGCGGATATTCTGCCAGCTACCACCTGGGTTTTTTGGTGGGGGGCAAGGGGAACGTTAAGAATGGGGGACACTTTAAATCTTGCCCTGGCTGGCTTGACTGAGGATGGCAAGTGAATTCCTGGTCTCACACTGGATGGACAGTGTTGTCCATCACCCTCCACACGGCCACTGCCTGAGTGTTTAACAGGTTTGTCAAACTCCCGGTTAGTTCTCAGGACCAGCCACAGGGCATCTCTGAAGATGCCCGCTGTGCCTCAGTACCAAAGGCCCGGGCCACTTGCTCTCCCTCTCTCTCCCCCACGCACACACGTGTGGCAAATCCAGGTGGTCGGTCTGCAGAGAGGGCTTCCAAGTGGCCAGTATAAATAATGCTGGTGTCCTTGTGTGCCACAGCAACCGCCTGGCTCCGGGAGAGGAGAAACTGCCACCTTCCCTACACATCCATCCGAACAGTATGGAGACATGCAGGGAAGGCTAGACGTCACCACGGTCCAGGGCGTTCGGAGCCAGCCTTCTTGTCCGATCCCTGGGCTCCTTCTTGTAAGCAGGAGCCCACCTTCACAGCAGACAAACCATAGTACACACCCTGAGAATATAATTCTGGTAATACCGCCCAGAGAGGTATACTTCCAGACCATCCAAGCAGAACAAAGCAAAGGCGTAGACACAGTCTGAGGCCCCCCCCTCAGAGCCCCTGGGAGTCCATGTGACACCTTGTGCAAAATAGGAAAAGGCACCTCTTCCACAGGGGCAGATGCAGCCCCCAAGATGGCATAGTGACTTGGCAAGCAGGGCACAGGCTTGAGTTCCAATAGCTCCCTCCACACGCATGTCCCCACGGGTAGAGAACCTGCCCAACTGCACATCCCAGTTAATGTCCCCCTCAACGGCATGGAAGACCCCCTTCTCTGCAGGATCGGAGGGGCTTGGGCTTGTCTGGATTTGAGCATTCATCTTGGATTCCTTCTCTGGTTTCCTTGGGGAGCCTCCGGGGTCTTCTCTGCCCAAGAAAGCTGCCTTTTCTTGGGGCCTTGCTTCAATCTTTAGCACCAATGATGCCTCTTAGAAATGTAAAAAATAAACAAACAAAACAAAAAGACCTGTAACTGAATGTCTAGATGTCTGACTGAGAGATGCCCTGTGTCTTTTCAGAGAAGTCTGCTAGGAGACATGCCAGAGGCTGCTTTAAATGTCCCCCATTGGAGCCACAGCAGGAGCAAAGAGGAAGTTCAGAGGCAGCTGTGAGCCCGCTGAGTCCCAGAGCTGGCCTCTCTGGGAGCTGGAGGGAGACAGGAAATGTGTACCCGGCTTTGACAGTTGCACAGTGGAGTCGTTGCCTGTGTTACTGTAAAAGACACGCTTCCTCGGACAAATCCCCTGCCCTCCGCTTCTTCCTGTCACCCGCGAGGCGTGACAAAAGGAATGGGGCCAAGGAGGAAGAGGTACGTGGTTTCCAAGGAAGCCAAGGGTTAGGGTTCCTCCACGGCCGACTCTTAGAAGACAGCTGCCCTAGCTCCCAGACCTGCTGCGAACCGGTCCCTTTAATGTCCTGCAAGGGGCGGGGGGCGCGAGTGCAGTCACATGGCTGGGTGTTGAGGAAAAGGAGCTGCCCAAGCACAAGCTGCTGGAGACAGCACGATGACCGACTGTTCAGCACGTCCACGATTAACGCCCAGTTGGTCCAAGGCGGCAGTGGCTCTGCGCCTCAGGACTAACCCTGGGGCCTCCCCAGTAAGACCGAGTCAGATTTGAGGCCTCCCCAGAAGTTTGGTTCGCTTGACGGCACGTTGGAGGGGTCCTGGAGAAACCCAACCCTCCCTGAGGTCTGCTGGAGAAGATGGGCTGGGCCACACTCCCTAAGCCCTTGAGGCGGGCACTGGCTGGGCCAAACCGGAGCCGAGCCGTGGAGCTGACGGACTGGCCGAGGGAGGTTGCCTTATGCAGCTGGAAAGTCCTTGGCTGAGGCCCAGGTGGGGTACAGCAGCGTTGCCATCAAGATCGGGGACCCCCCAATCCACAGTGGGAGGCTGACAGGTCTGGTGGAATTGGGAGTTGCATTGGGTCTCCTTTCCTTAGCCTAGTTTCTGGGGAAAAGCGACAGTCCAATCCCCAGAGGACAGCACGCTGCGCTGGTCATTTGGACCGCTGGCAACTGATGAATCTGCTTGTCCGGGCTTGTGGGAGGTCCCACCATCACAGACGCTTCAGCCTTCCTTCAACAGTGTCTGACCAAGGCCTCTGTTCCTTCCTGGTGGAGGCCTTGAACGGGGGGGGGGGATCCCATTTGGGTATGTCTTATATATACACAGAACAAAAATGCAAAAATTAAAAAACACACACACACAAAACAAAACAAAGGAGGGAAAAAATAACCAAAGGCGGCGTGCCAGTCCTCCCCGATGTCCCTGTTGCAGGTGGAGCTCCTGGTGTCCCACGTGAAGAGGGCAGCCCAGTCTCACCTGGGACCTGCCCCATTCCTGTTCTCATCTCCGTTCAAAGCGAGGTTGTGAAGGAAAAGGAGCACCTGCCGCCACCCGCGATTCCGGTTCTGCTGGTGCTGCAGGGACAACACACACACAGACACAAAAATCAACAGAGCTCCCACACGCAACCGCCCAGGGCTCGCTGCCCTTTCAGCGCTCTGCGTCTGCCCGTCCGTCTGTCCTCGCAGGCCTTCGGTGAATCCTATCAGTACAGCAAAGAGGAGGGAGGGGGGGGCAGGGGGGGGGGCTGTTGGGGAGAGAGAAGGCCAAGGAGGAGGAGGAGGAGGAAGAAAAAGAGGAGCTCGCCTAAAACAATTGCAGCTTTAACCTGAGAAAGAAAAGACCAGGCTCTTTCTGCACTGTGCACAAGAGGATTAGACTTTTCCCTTGCTCGCAGGATTTTCCAGAGTTTAGCCAAGTGCTGCTTTTAATCAGATTGGCTCCTGAGCCCCTCCAACCTCAGCTGCCTGAACAACAAACTTTCTTCAGAAAGAAAGAGAAGTGCCCCCTCCCTCTCCCCCCACCCCGCCTTCCAAAGCAACACAGAGAACAAGGGGGAGGGGGGCGGAGAACCTCCATCTGCAAGTGATTTGACACTGTGAAGGTCAAAGGGTTAATCTTCAATTTAAACCACACTGCTGAGGCAGCAAAAATCTGATTTCATCCAGCGCAAACACACACGGACGGACTGACACACACACACACACACACACACACACACACACACACACACACTCCCTTCCCAGCATCTCCAGCTCAGTGCCGCCCTTTTTTATAGCGGCTCTTGACAGTAAGCCATAAATAATCCCTCTTGGAGCGCGTTCCTACCGACTGGAGCCAATTAAACGTGAAGCAAGAACATACTTCAAAACAAAACAAAAACAAAGAATGCGCACCACGTCCCGGGGTTATCCCGGGTCCTCCTGTCAGGCAGGGAAACTGGGAGCAAAATCCAGGGGTCAGCGGCTCACAGGAACCTTTTCTCTAAGGCCAGCAGAGGCCCCAGGGGTCTGACGGGTGTTGGGGATGGGGACAAGCACTCTCCCCTTGGCAGGAGGAGGGTCTTTGTTCTCTGGGGAGGTGTGTGTGCGTGTCGGGGGTGCCTGTCCCCAGTGGACCTCAGTGGAATGAAACCCTGGCGTGCAGAAAGGAGCTACGACAGGCCAGACCTGGAATTCCTCAGGAAGTGAGTTTATGGGATGTGTCCCAAGGCTGGCCCTCTCTTTGGCTTCTTTAACCATAGCGCTAGCCCCCACCTGTCAGATGGAGGGACGATAGAGTAAGTCGGTGGCAGAACCGGAGCCTGAGCCCAGACCTGGATTCCCAGAGCACCTTTAGGGCCTGCCACCAACCAGCCTTCATGACCCTCCCCAGGCAAGAGCCCAGAGGAGGGGTGTGTGCAGGTGCCACGGCTGATCAGAGCACCCTCCCAGCCCAGGTGAACATAGCGCGTGCGCGCGCGCGCACACACACACCACCTTCCGTGGCAATGACTCCTCTTCCGGTTGGGGAAGGCAGCCTGGAAAACAGAGCGCTGCGAGCTCCAGGGCCCCAGGAGAAGAAGGGAAGTGGGGTGTGCCCCAGGGGGAGGCCGATGGATGGAGACCATGGCTTCCTTGTGTTTTGTAAACAAAGATGAGGAAAAAGTGGAAACACACCGAGCCCCGCAGTGAAAATGGACCGGGCTGCAGGCCCAGGCTGTCTCCCAGCGGCTGAGTAAAGCAGCCCCCCACCCTGACCCCTCCTCCCCTTTGGCTCCCTGTCCCGCATAGCTGCTACTCTGGACAGGTGCAGAAGTCACACCGTGGGACCGAAGGAATAGCCAGGAAAAACCTGGATCCCTGGAGAGGCCAGTCGGCTGAAATTCCAAGCAGCCTCAGGTGCCCGTTTGAAAAAAGCCTGCGTAGCAACACCAATAATGATCCTGACTGTGTGGTGTCAGCCCTGGAGGCCACCAGGAGCTCTGTTCTCAGACCGGGGGCTCTGTTTGTTTGCAGGGCGGGGGCTCTGTTTTCAGGGTGCCACACTCTTGCTTCTCCCAGAGTGTTCCCTTGGAGGAGCGGCCTACAGGTCTATCAGAGTGTAAGAAGGTGTCTGGGTGGCACCCACCCTTAGGTGCTTGGCTACTAATCTAAAGGGTGCTGTTTCAAAGCTGCCTAGCAGTGTGGCAGAAGAATGGCCCAGAGATCTGCTTCTGTCAAGACTAAAACCAAGAAAATCCCACGGAGAAGGTCTACTCCCTAACAAACACATGGGACAAGACAGACTTGGGTTGGGGAGTGGAGTGGGCGAAACCCCTCCCTGTGTGCACTAAACTCCCTGAGAGACCCTATGTGGTGGTGGTCCCTATCACCATACTTTATACTGGAGACAACAGGGAGGTTAGGAAGTGGCTACGTGACCTAGACCTGGCTCTAGAGCAATGTCCTCACTTACTGCCACTGTGCTGAGTGTCACCACCCGACTTGCTTTGTATCAAAGCAGACCCTCTAGCCTCACCTTCACTACAGCCAAATTCACTGCCATCAGTCCACTGTAACTCATAAGGACCCTAAAGGACAGAGCAGAACTGCTTCTGTGGGTTTCTGAGAATGCAGCTCTTTAACAGGAGTAGAAAGTCTCGCCTGTCTCCCACGGATCGGCTGGTGGTTTTGAACTGGCAACCTTGCAGTTAGCTGCTCAACTCGTAAGCCTTTACACCACCAGGGCTCCCGCTTCACTACAGCATTAAGTAACAGCTAACCTCAAAACATCCCAACAGCCAAGGAAGGGAAGGGAGATCACAAGGTCGATGAGTTAAGGCATGGGCCAATCCCATTTCTGTATACCTCAGTTTCTCCCCGATTCCCCTAAACGAGGCCACCTGCTGACTGGGTAACTTGCTGAGTCCCTGGGGAAGAGGCACAGGGGCACCTTCACCCTGTAAATTGGGAATGTTACAAAAGCAGCTGTGGGTCAGACTGGAAGGCAGAACCACAGGCCAGCAAGAGAACCTTTTCTGGGCACCAACCTCAAGCCTGTGAGACCCAGGTTTTACTCCTGGTCCTGCCCTGAACTAGCATACGGCCTTGGAAAACTCGTCCTCCCCTTCAGCGTTGTTTCCTCGACTCGAAACTGACGGGGCTGGACCAGATGATGCTGTGAGTCTAACACGAGTTACAGTCTCTCGTGACAGAAGAGGACTTTACCCACAGTAGGGTGTGTGCTGTGTCATGGAAACTTCTGGACAGCAGAGTCCGTAGGAAGAGGGGAAGGATCATAAATCACCTAAGTAAAGAGCAGGAGGAGCCAGACCCCTCCTCCCAACCAGACCCGAGGGCTGGGGGTCTTCTACTCACAGGTGGGCCTGGGGACACAGTACAGGAAGTAGGAAGTAGGACACACAGTACAGACCCTCAGGAGGATTTGGCGCCCAGCCTCTCCCTGTGAGAGTCCTTTGAGCTCATGATTCGGCAAGGAAGACCCTATGGGCAATGGCTACATGACTGGACCAGGAATCAGGGAGGTCAACATTAAGCTGGGCCCTTCCACCAGCCTATCTCTGTCATCTTATCAGTAAGATGAAGGTGTCAAATTGGATCCATGGTTTCCAAATCTGAACCGGTCAACAGAATTAACCAGTGGAGATGCTGTTGCAAATGCAGAGTCCCTGGGCCCCAGTCAGACCAACGGGGTGAGACAGGCTCTAGGGGAAGGACCCAGGAACTCATATTTTGAACAAACCCCTTGCATGATGTTTTTAAAAACCAGGGGTACCATGTTTAATGTTATATATCTTAGTCATGTTCAGTGTAGGAAAAAAAAATGGGAAAAGGTAAGAAACGGCCAAGGAGAAAATAACGCCAGCCAGAGTTCTACAGCTTGGAAGAAAACACTTAGAGACTTGGCCTTTCCTCCACTCGCATCTCACCAAAGTACGGATTTACTCCAGTGGGCCAAACCCCAGGTAAATCCCATCCAGGTGGTTCTGCATGGCTCCCAAGCCACAGACAGGCACTTGGAAACCACAGAGGCCCTTTCCAATGCTAAGGTGAGCTGTCGGTCTGGAGAACAGGTTGGCTGTGTGAACGCTGGTGTCCAACAGGCTGCTGCAACGGCACAGTCCGAGACCAGCTGAGGGGGCCTGCGACGCCAGTCCCACCGTGGACCCAGGAAACGCCCCACATATTCCCCCCAGTCTGCTGCCACCCAAAGGCCCCACAAAGGCCTTCTCCCAGAAGGAAGCCAAACTGCCTTGCAGCAGGGGGACAAATGCATGCTTTAATTATACGGACGGACAGAGAAGAGAGAAAATCGTTTTCTAAAAATTAAACACAAGAGCCTAACTGAAACGGAAAGAACAGTGATCTGAAGGGAGGCCGGGGAGAGAGACAGTGCGGAGGAAGGAAATCGACATTCACCGAACAGGACGACGTATACAGCGACGCCCAAACACCACAGAGAATTGTCAGGGAGGAGGAAAGGGGAACCAGGAGAGAATATGTTGGCTTCTGACACCCGGGCACCCGGCCCAGCGACCTGCACTCAATCTGAGATCAATGAACGCCACCACTACCATCCCACCGGCCCCCTATACACACAGAGCAAGGTCCAGCTCTCCCACACTCTGCTGTTGCTTCCTGCACAAAGTGTGGGGACCTATGGAGTGGGGTTCCCAGAAAATGCAAGTCAGGATGACGGTGGGATGGAGGGTGGGGGGGGTGACATAGTGATGGGACTTTTTTCACTTTTTACCAACGCCCTCAAATCCACAGGGCTGGGAGGGGAGGGTTGGACCCCAGGTGGAATACACGGTTAATATGATTGGCTGTTCCCTGAAAGGTTGGCGGTTCGAGTCCACCCAGAGGCACCGTGAAAGACAGGCCTGGCGATCTACTTCTGGAACACGCTTGTGGTTCTTCTCTGGGGCGTGGGGCTCTCCAGGAGTTAGATTAGAGGGCAGGGGCAAGGCCTGGAGGGAGAGAACAGAGGTGAAGACCCCCACACCCGAGGGACCCCCCTTCACCCCCACCCGGCCCCGTGGTGGTAGAGTGCACAGCCTGGCAGACAAAAGACCCCAGTTCTCCTCTGGGCC